ACAAGCTCCTCGTTATTTACCTTCTTTTGTGGCATAAGCGTGTCCATTTCTGATGATCTTCTCAATAAAGGCAACGATATGATGCACGTTCTCTGTGACCCTTAAATACACTGCAGGAGGAACCACCTCAACACAAAGACATGAAGACGTGTTTAGAAATGAACAGGAACAGCATCCACAGTGTGAACGCTGAAACTCAGAGTGGAGGTCAAACTGTGCAGTGAAATAAAGCCTGTGCATGTTATAAGACATGCTGATCTGCTGCAGGTCTAAGCTCGCACCTTCAGTGACAGCATGTCCCTCTTGAACTCGTCCTCGTACACCGCGCTGATGGCGGCTGGGGAAACATTTTCCTGTTGGACCACATGAAACATGACGTCAGCAGGTGAGAACAGAGCAGCAGCCAGCAGGTGCAGGACGCTCTCACCTCCCAGCTTCTTCTGATGATCTTGTCATCGATGTCCGTGATGACCATGGCATGGACCACGGTGATCCCAAACAGTCTGCTGAGGATCCTCTGCAGGATGTCAAACCTCACGTATGAGCTGGAACAAACCCACAGAGCTCACGCACACACCGTTTACCTGCACGCCATAGCCACACCTACTGTTGCCATAGTTACCTTGCATGACCCAGGTGAGCGTGGTCGTACACGGTGGGTCCACAGCTGTACCTGAGATGTAACACATAAGTGGGTTATTAGGCCGCCGTGTGCCGGCATGAGCAGCACAGTGATCGGAGTCCGTACCAGGTCGCGACCCCCTCTCTCGTCAGGATCAGGGGCTCCTTCTGTTTGCTCAGGCTGTTAAAAGTCTTCAAGCCCGTATCGAAGCCGCTAGGCCTCACCCACTCCCTCCCGGACACACTGCAGCTGGGTCCGTGGGACGTGGATCGGACCGTGACTACCGGTGAAAGTCCGGGGACCGGTGCCCTCCACAGCAGCGAGCTCACCTGTTTCCACATAGCGCGAGGCGCCGTGGTTTGAAGGCGCAGTCTGCGGTGTCACGCACCGGAGCTCACGCACAGCTCACCGCACCGGAGCTCACGCACAGCTCACGCACAGCTCACCGCAGCTGTTCCGACGCTAAAACAAACCGATATAAACACGGTTGTTTCGCTCTTCACGCACGTTTAAGCCACTCTCACACTTCTCGCGAGAGTTGTATAGCGGAAGTTTATAAGCAAATCATGTGACTTGATGTAGCTGGCAGTGTGAACAGCTATGCCCAAATAGTCGGAGCTCTGACAGGAAGGTTCAGGTCCCAGAGGATTCTCCGATATGCAGAACGTGATCAACACGGTGAAGGGCACGGCCCTCGGGGTGGCCGAGCTGTTCACCCCGGTGTTAAAGGTAAGCGCGGCAGCTAGCTGCTGGTAGCTGTAGCCGCTCGGACGTCGGGGCTTCATTTGTGTGCTCTCGGTGTGAAATGTTTGACACGCAGCTGCTTCACCGGAAGTGAAGCGGAGCACTAACAGTTTTCGCTTTGTTGTTAATGACAGGAATCGAAATTCAAGGAGACGGGAGTCCTCACACCGGAGGAGGTGAGAACCGACACAGCCGCGCACACTGTTCCTCCCGCGGCTCTGCTCAGGGCCTCACCTGTCCGCTCCTCTCTGTCTTTCAGTTTGTAGCAGCTGGAGATCACCTGGTTCATCACTGCCCCACATGGAAATGGTGAGAGGCTTAATTCACGTCAAACACGATGAGTCCGTGTCATTAAAAAAGAAACGCTCGAAAGACTCAGTTTCTCCACTCATTCAAACGGCACATTTACACACAGTTCCTGTGACAAACGTTTGCAGGTGTAAAATGTAAAAAACGTCACCTGCACTTTTTGTTTTACTGTAGTAACACCACAAATGAGCCGTTTATACAAAGAGCTTGAAAAGG